GAGCAGTGAACGGGTAGCCAGCGTGAGTGGCCGGCGTGAGGGGTGGCAGGTGGCCGGTGGGAGCAGCAGCAGGCAGTTGGCAGGCCAGCTGGCAGGGGCAGCATGTAGGTGGCATTGCCACATGCTCAGTGAAGGGAGATGTCATGGTAATGTACCTATAAACTCTGGGTCTGCACTGACTGGACAGAATTGTGAGTGCGGTGTTTGAAGTGAGGGGAAACCACACTATTTGAGTTGGGAGTTGGACTAAAGATCTTTAAGCAAAAGACTCTGCCCTGCGGATGGTACCTTGCTTATGGGTTTTCTTTGTTTATGTGTTTCCATATGTTGATGTTGATGCTAGATTACTGTTATTAAACAGACTGTTTCTATCTCTGAGGGTACGTCTACACTACAGCGCTAGTTCGAACTAACTTAGTTCGAATTAGTTAATTCGAACTAAGCTAGTTCGAACTAACGCATCTAGAACTAAAAACTAGTTCGAACTAGCGTTTTGCTAGTTCGAACTAGTCTATACCTTCTTTACATGACCTGAGGTACCAATATTCATTGCTATAAGGGTGCACATCCATGGGCACGTGCTTCAGAAGGTTCCTGATGCTCACAATGCTATGGCTGCCTTTCCCCAATTAGAAGAGAATGCAGGAGCCAACCTGAAGAAGTGCCAAATAAATAGTAATCCATTTTTAATTTTGACTAATATCTTTAAATCAGTAAATATTTTTCTGACAGTGCTGAAGTTCTAATATAAACAGGTCATGCAATGAGGTATACATTTTAGTGTTTTCCTGTCTCCCCAACCTTAATAGATCATTTGTCTTCTTTGACTACAAGCAGGGATTATGCAACTATTGTATAGATCTATATATCACTGAACATAGTGGATCTAGATTTCGGCCTCTAGGTGCTAATGTTGCTCATCTGTAAAATGGGGATAATGATATTGACCTTAAAACACTTTGAGATTTATGGATAAGCACTACAGAAGAACTCAAGGGCTGTGTCTAGACTGCATCCCTTCTCCATAAAAGGGATGCAAATTAGACATATCGCAATTGCAAATGAAGCAGGGATTTAAATCCCCCCTGCTTCATTAACATAAAAATGGCTGCCGCTTTTTTCCGGCTCAGAGCTTTGCTGGAAAAAAGCGCCAGTCTAGACGCGGATCTTTCGGAAAATAAAGCCTTTTCCGAAAGATCCCTTATCCCTCTTAAAGTGATAAGGGAGAAGGGATCTTTCGGAAAAGGCTTTATTTTCCGAAAGTTCCGTGTCTAGGCTGGTGCTTTTTTCCAGCAAAGCTCCGAGCTGGAAAAAAGCGGCAGGCATTTTTTTGGTCAAGAAATACAAAGCTCCGAGCTGGAAAAAAGCGGCAGCCATTTTTATGCTAATGAATCAGGGGGGATTTAAATCCCCGCTTCATTTGCAATTGCAATATGTCTAATTTGCATCCCTTTTATGGAAAAGGGATGCAGTCTAGACACAGCCAAGTATTATTAGTGTTAGTAGTAGTAGTAACATAAAATAAATAGGCACATAAATAGGACCCTTTGCATGTGCAGCTCTTCTATTCCTAGGGTTACCAGGTGTCCGGTATTCACCTATTGTCCAGTAAAAAAATTCAGAAAATACCAGACACCTAAAATGTCTGGTATTTTCTGTTTTTTTTTCCCCTGCCAGGCGGTGAAAATACCGGACACCTGGCAACCCTACGACACACTCAGCAACTGGCCTCCTTCCCCCACCGAACCTCCTGCTTACTTAGTTCTGCAGGGAAGCTGCTTTCTGGCTCGACCCAGAAAACAAAATGGCTGCCAGCAAAAAGCCTAAAGACCCCAAGCAAGGGGAAGCAATGCCTTCTCTGGGTCTTAGTGCTCAACCTCTCCTTATCCCTATTTTGACTCTGCACTCATTTAAAGGGGCCATGCTGTTTTAATACTGTTTAATTTAATTCATTAATTAATTTATTGCTTAATAACTCTCGGGGTCCTTTTTTTTTTGGCTCAAAAACTTTGGTCTCCCCCTTTTTTCCCTCCCTCAACAGAATTTTTCCCCTGGTGGTTTTTTTGGGGGGGGAGGGGGGGAGGTGTTCGGTATTTTTGGTTAAACCATCTGGCAACCCTATTTACTCCACATAGAAAAAGGCTATGTCTAGACCGCAGGCTTCTTTTGGAAGAAGCTTTTCCGGAAGAGATCTTCTGAAAAAACTTCAGAAACACAGCGTCTACACAGCAAAAGCACATTGAAAAAGTGATCTGCTTTTTTGAAAGATAGCGTCCATTCGCTGTGGATGCTATCTCATATTTAAGGTATGATTACTATGGACACAGTGACTGCCAGGGTATCGGTGCTTTTTCCTCTTTCCTCTTCTTTTGAAAGAACTCCCTGTTCCCTATCCACACACGCCTTTTTGTGAAAGAGCTCTTTCGGAAAAAGGCTTCTTCCTCATAGAGGTTTACCATTGTCAAAAAAATGGTTGTTTTGTTCTTTTGATTTTCTTTCAAAAGAATGCAATTGCAGTGTGGATGTAATTCAATTTTTTTTTCCAGAAAAATGGTTGTTTTTCCGAAAAAACTCTGTAGTGTAGACATAACCTCAGTGATAGCATTCCACTTGGAAGGCTCTCTGCAGATGTGGGCATCTGCAAGTGGTAGAAAGACTAAAGATTGCATTAATTTGCATTCATTAACTTCCCATTCCTTTTATAATCTCTTTTGAAATCTGAATTCTGGGAATAGGTAGACCGGACACCACACAGACCAGGATGCTAGGACAGGGCTGCAGGAGACTCAGACCTGCTGCAGAGAAACAGTAGCTTAGCATTTTATTCTTGCTTTCTTTGTCTGGCTTAGGACCACTAAAAGTCAGGAGAGCAGCAGGAGAGCTGCAAGTCACTTTTTATTGCCAGTAACCACTTCCTGATAATTTACTTAGAATTAGGTCATCCTAAACTCCCATTGTTGCAATTCCTATACACCTGTTTTGGAGAGTTGCCAGATCCATCAACTTCCACAAACTGCTGTGGAAATGTTGGACTCTGGACACATATGAGGAAAACTAGTTATGTGAATGGCAGAAGGTAGGGGCAGTGTCCCTGTTATACAAAATGTGTAAATCTGAGTTTAGCAAGCATAGCTACTGGGATAGCTGCATCTTTCATTTGCAATCCTGTGATCATTATTTTTAAATGATATTTGTTGAAATTATGGGCTATTTACTGTACCTGAAATTCATCAAGCAGATTACAAAAGGAGACTCCAGGAATAGTTGCTACCCTGAAATGAAAAAGCTCAGACCCCTGTGAAAACAAAACAATAGCAGCATTGATGGATCACCTGTTTTCAGAACAAAATTGGTTTCATTAAAGAAAATACATACTTAAGGCCCTCTTGAACAGAAACACCTTGATTTGCTGAATTGACTCAAAAACAGTTTTGCATGCAAAGCTGGCCAAAGTAAGAGCAGCTAGTGAGAGACAAACCTATCTTGCTTGCAGTTGCAGTCAAGCAGGGGGTAAATTGGGGCCATCAGGGGCTGATAATCTGTCTCTAAGGGTATGTCTACACTAGCCACCCTAGTTCGAACTAGAGTGGCTAATGTAGTCATTCGAACTTGCAAATGAAGCCCGGGATTAAAATATCCCTGGCTTTATTTGCATGTTCCCGAGCGCCGCCATTTTTAAATGCCCCGTAGTTCAAATTCCCTGCCTGCGGGTACAAGCGGCACAGGCTAGGTAGTTTGAACTAAAGCCCCTAATTTGGACTACCATTACTCCTCATTGCAGGAGGAGTAACGGTAGTCCGAATTAGGGGCTTTAGTTTGAACTACCTAGCCTGTCCCGCGTGTAGCCGTGGGCAGGGAGTTCGAACTACCGGGCAATTAAAAATGGCAGCGCCCGGGAACATTCAGAACGCCAGGACAAATTAGAGTGTTTTTTTACATTTTGAAGGGGCAGAGGACATGGGTTCCATTGCCACAAAACATTCAATGCAGATTGCTCTCAGCAAGTGGCATCTCTAAATGGATTCACCAGGAAATGATTTGATTAGATAGAGAGATTAAATATGGCCATATTATGTAATTGGTATTTTTTCCATGGGAACCTCTCCATGACTGAATGTACAACACACTAGTGAAATAAGTGACAGCAAGGTCTTGAACAAGACTGATAACATATTCAAAAGGCTTATATATATGAAATAACTACCAAAAGTTTCCTTTAATATTTAAAGGATCAGCACCTTTAAAGGAAACATATGTAATGATCACAAGGTATAAAAGACAATTTACCCAAATTACAGATGGCTCTGAAGTATCAATGGGTGTTCTTGGATCTGGGTTTTATAGAGAAAGGAAGTTTGGATTCAGATCAGAGCTTCCTCAGATTTGTATTTTTAGTTCATGCCCATTTGCCATTTCTGCCCAAAATGTTTATTTTTATCTGAACTACAACTTACATATATGTTTAAGGCCAAGGTTTCTGGATTATACAGTGTATTGTTGATTTTATGTGCTAAATATGCTCTCATTTTTAACATGCCTGGTGTATCCTTGGTACCTGTAAAACAGTAGAGTAATTCAAGTTTTTGTTCTGTCTACCACAATTTCTAAATAATTCCAATTTCTATATTACGAGTAGTTGGTAATGTAGGTTCTAGGACTCAGGGACAGAGAGGAGAAGAGGAACTTTTAGCCTCTTTAGCCCTGTGAGATGAAAGCTTCCTGCAAGGTGCTAAGTACCATGAGCTTCTATTAAAAAATGGAAGAAAGGGACTCAGTACTGTGAGAGGTACTCAGAATCTTGTAGGATCCAGTCTTTATACAGTTTTGATCACTCACCATCCTCAAGTTCCTGAACATTATAGAGACAGGATAATCAGGGTAATTTTTGCTTCCATGTATGTTTCCTTGAAAAATGCCTCTGCATCCATAAAAACAGGCAGAATGGGGACTCCAATTATACCATATTACAAAAAGCAACAAAGAAATATATTTTAAGGTGGCTGTGGCAGATACTGCAACTGCTTGTAGTATCTTTGGGGATCATATTGTGTTGAGTTTACAGATGTTTATATAACATTGTAGCCAAAGATTTTATGCAGCTACATGGGGGAAGCTCTTCCAGAAACTCAGAACAGTGGGGATAATCACTACAGTTTCAGAGTCTGGAAAGAGCACCAGAGAACTCTCTACTGGGGTGACTTACTTATACTGGTGTAGGGCTGAGTTTATCAAGACTGCTGTGTGTGTCTTCAGTTTGATTAAAAAATGGTCAGACAGTTGAATCCTAGAGAGAACCCCAGCCCTTTCTGTAAAGTTGGAAAAATGCTGTCTTACTAGACCCCCATAAGAGTGTGATAGATGCTACTTGGAATGTTTAGTAAGTCTTTAAATCTATTAATTGATTTTTGTATGTTTTCTTTATTATACTTTTGTCTAAAGAATAAAAACTTCAAAAAAGCTATGTGGTCACTGGTAAAGACATGGTTACTGACCTCAGACTGCACAATCCAGATGCTGACCAATAGGTGGTCTGGCCTGCTGGGGATACCACAGTAGATGACAGGGCTGTGTACAGACTTAAAACCTCTAGAAAGAGGCACTAGTCTCCATATAAGCAAGGTGATGGCTAAGAGTCTGAAACTTTAAGTGGATGTCCTCGAGGAACCATGGAAGGGAAATACATGTGCAATTATCCCCAAACTGTGACAGCTGCAACAGATGACAACTTCAAACTAGAGGACTATACACTTTATTGCTTATATAGGCTCATCTCTACACCCAATAAGAGCAGCATATTATGTTGAATGCTGGGACATATGTACTACCAGAAAGATTCTTCTGCCTGTAGCACCAAATGGGAACTCTGTTGATTTTCCTCTCACTTACACAGTGGAAATCAAGCTTTCAGGTTCTCTGATTTTCATAAAAATCAATAAGGTTCTGCCCTCTGACTGCTAGAGCATTCCCTGAAATGTTGGAATTGATTGTTGGTGTGGCACCAGAACCCTTCAAACCAAAGCTTATGTGATTACTAAGGACCCAGCAGGACTGTCTGCTAGAGCAGGTGTGAAAGGGACAGGAATGCAGTCTCCATCCTTGAACCTGAATGTCTCATCCTCCTAGAGCTGTTCTGAAGACATCACAGTGCTTTACAGGCCTGAGGGAATTCACTCTCCCCATCACTCTAGACCCGCCAGAAGACAAAGGAAAATAACATGCATTTTACTTTTCACTACCTTGACCCCCACTTACTCCCCTGTCTGTCCCTGACTTTCTCACTGCTCAGACATGCAATCTCCATGCTGTCTTTACTCTCCCATATCATCTAGGCGATTAAATCATCTCTGTTCTCCATCCTTGCCCCTTAACCCCTGTTCCCTGCAGCCCTCTTTTGTGGCCTCTGTGCCTCTTCTCTTGCTCCCTTCAGTTAAGCCCAAATGCTACTGTTAAAAGCACCTTCTTCCCTTGCCACTCTGCTCATGTCATTCCCAGTGCCTCCTCTTTCTGCATCAAGACTCCTCTTCACTTGCTAGGTCTACCCAGCTCCACTCCCTTCTGCATCTCCTCTTGCTCCCTTCTCACCTCTCCAAGCCTCTTCTCTCCACCACCCTTTTGTATTCTCCCATTATGTCTCCCTCTGTGCAGAGCAGTCTCTCTCTCTATTCCTGCATGTCACATGACCCAGAGCTCAATTCTTCCAACAGAGTATTTGGAGAGATTCTTACAAACATTTTTACAGGCAACCAAGAGGAAATGCTAGTGAGCTGAATGTAGGCTGAGTCACTCAATATTTCTCACAATTCCTTTTTATTTATAATATGATGCATCAATTTTGATGAATAAAATATTATTTTTGTTGATCCATAGGTATTCATAGTTCTTGACAAAGAGAAAGAAAGTGTTACTCACCCTGTGCAGTAACTTCTGTTCTTTGAGACATGTGTCCCCGAGGGTGCTCCACTACAGGTGTCGGGCTTGTCCCGGCACCACAGTTTGGAGAGTTTTGCCAGAATAGCCAATGGTGGACCGTGCATGTGCAGAAGTCTCCACATGCCGTTTACGCCTCTTCCGCATTGCGCGGTCCGAAGTGCCAATTCCTCCTAGCCAGAACATCTGAAAGATATAAGCATAAGAGTTCCGAAGCAGGGAGAAGGGCGGGTCATGGAGCACCCACGGGGACATACATGTCGAAAACCAGAAGAAGTTACTGCACAGGGTGAGTAAACCTTTCTTCTTCGAGTAGTGTCCCCGTGGGTGCTCCACTACAGTTGAGTATGAAGCAGTAGCCCGGTGCTCATGTTGTGCTTTGGACTTGTCATCTGTGCACAGAGGAAAGCACTGCTCAAGCCACCGCTGTATCCGCAGCCATGGAATGATCAAGGGCATACTGTCTAGTGAAGGTTGAAGTGGAAGACCAAGTAGCAGCGCGGCATATATAGCACAGGGAAACATCTTTGAGGAAAGCCGTCAAGGTTGCCATACTCCTGGCCGAGTGTGCCTTCGGTTTAGAGGGCAACGGCTTATTATGGACCGCGTAGCAGCGTGTGAGGCAGTTCATGATGTGAGATGAAATGCGCTGCAAAGACAATTGGAGACTGACAGCAAGAGGCATTGGGACTTTCAGAAGGAGCATGTTTTGTCCAAGTAGAAAGCAAGCGCTCTCCTAATATCCAGGGTGTGTAAATGTGCGTGTTCCACAGTGCAATGAGATTTTGGGTAAAGGTGGAAAGAGCAATAGGTTCATTAATGTGGAATGATGAATTAACCTTTGGCAGGAAAGCGGGATGGCACCGTAACATCACTCCTTGTTCAGTAAAAATGTATACGCAGGGTCAGCCGAGAGAGCTGCCAATTCACCAACACGACGAGCCGACGTGA